CTATATATTCTTAAATATATAGTAATTATTTTTATAATTCTTATATAATAAAGCTAAAATACGGTAACTAATAAAAATCTATAATATATCTAAAGTTAAAAACGAAAGACGTTAATAAACTTTTCGTGTGATAGGGATTAATAAAATATCTTTTGATAGGTATAAATTATATTGTTCATATTTATCGTTTACGTAGTAATACCCTCTGGTCTCAAGATATTTTTGAAATAATATACTAAAGTAATTAATAATTATAATGTCAAAGAAGGGGAAATTACATAGAAATGCGACTAGACTACCTATTTCTGCATTATCAGTCTATAATTAATATTATTTTTTCTAGTTCATCTTAAACTTTCACTTTGTTTATAAATATTTAAATTCACGATTGAGACATAACTAAAAGTAAATAGTATCTACATATTTGATTTTTGTTCCCAAAGATTGTAATAAAAATCAGATATATAGGTGTTATAATCTATAATCGCGTTGTGTGAAGACCCGATCGTAAATTGAAATAATACTTTTCTTTTTAAATATTTTTTATTTTCTAAAATAAACATTTGATAAATTATTTAATTACGCTAATAACAACATAATTTAATCAGGCATTTAAAAAAACAAGTGTGTCATTAAAACTTCGTAATATGTATTGTATATTTGAATGTTTCATTTTGTAGGTGCACGTATTTATTCGCTTTTTCCTTGAGAATAATAATAAGGTTTCACGACATTATGTGTGATATGATAGAATGGGTAACAGTTGTCTCGCTCAGTGGGTGGGCTCTGCCGAATTATCGCCGGGTTACAGATATTGATATGTGGTTATAATGATTTGATCTCCCCGATATTATGTCTCGTTTCTATTAGATATTAATTATATAAGCCAATAAAATATAATGGCATATCAATTCAGACATGATATTGATCTAATTTTAGTAATTTTTTGACAGTGTGTCATAAGTTTATTTTAATATCATCATTAAAGAATATATTCTTTATCTAATACAGATAACATTTAATTAATACAAGTCTCAGGTATAAAGAGTTTGAATCCAATATTTAGATCATTGGGGTCAATTTTAATTAGATTTTGATTTACACCACAGTTTAAAAATAATCGTATTTTTATTTCAATATTTATTATATATTTTTAAATATTGTATTTATATAAGTGTCATATTTTTATGTATTATCAGCGTGTACAATAAAGTATAAATAAATATTTTGAAGAAACGCTTTAATATGAGTAACACTATTTCTGATCGATAAACTTAAATATTTTAAGTAATAAATTTTAGAATAATACTTTTGGTCTATATATTAATACTGAAGGGGAAATTATGTAATAAGAGTAAGTTGTAATATGTATCTATAACTTTACTTGGGATACATTTGGCCAAACCTCTTATCTGTTGCCTTAATCCGTTAACATAAAAAGAGATGGGTCGGTCTCACTCAAAGTCGAATGGCCAAGAATTATAGCCATCTAATCCTTTCATGTCATTGCAAAAACCTTTTGAAATCCAGACAGTTTCTTCAAAGGAAGCAGTAAGCCTACGAGCTTCTCCAGTGTCTTCCATTAGTATTGTTACCACGGTTATTTCGTTATTTACTCTATATATATGTAACATGCTCTTATTTTCTTATGAAAGTTATTATTATAATTTTTATAAGTATCATTTCTATTTTACAGATATTATGAATGAACGAATGAAAATTTATTATAATAATACACAACACTTACATACACTTAGACTACAAGTAACAATAACTTTAAAAGTAAAAAGTTTATACTTTCACTTTAGTTAAAAAGTCATTAACTCTGTTACGTACATACGTAAATAGATAAAACTAAAATTTTATAATTTCTACTGTCTTTTTATTTGCTTGGCAATTTTTCTGCCTTCTAATGTCGTAACTATTTCAGAATGATATAAGCACACCAGACTCATTAATTAGTAACATAAATTATGAAGCGACAGCCGTTGAATTATTTAACTAACTTTTTTACATAATCTCTTTTATGAAGTATAAAAGTCAATTACTATAAAATATGAAATAATTGATAGGAGTGTGATTGAAAAAAAAGTTGAATATAATGGAATGGATGGGTTTTTTAATATGGGATATACTCATAAAATAAAATATAATAATTTGGTCAGTATTCTTTAAAAGTATGTTGACTTGATAATATGATATGTCAGAATCAATACGTGAAACATTTCTATAATATATTAATCATATTATTTGATACGAGGCAGTAACGATTTATGTACGGGCAGTCCAGTCTGCTAGAAATCATGTCCATATTTCATGTCCCGATATGGCTGCGTCAATTTGTGTTAAGTGCCCTTTCTCACTACGCGTTTTTTACATATGCATGTATGTGCGAATACTAATGTAGTCAATACTTGTAAGTAATATTATTTATTCTGTACTTCAGTTAAACATTATACACTTTTTTGTTAAAAATGGTCACTTAAGATTTTTGCGAAATAAAAGTGTATTTATAAATGGGAACAGATGTCATTAACTAAGTTTGTTTGTAAATTAGATTCAAAATTTAACTTTTAACTGAATATTGGCTATTTTTAGTCCAAAGCTTCGAATTTAAAATTAAATTTCCATGTTGCTCAGTTTTGAAAAAAATACCGTTTACAAGACAATGCTCACGGAAAAGTTTGTGTTTAGATCGGCTTCCGCTTTGTTATATGATTTTATTCAATAACATGTGGTCTACTCGTGTTAAATAATTTGGTTGAGATAATTAAAAGACATAGACACATTTAAAAGGGACTAGTTTGAGGTGGAGCAGAACAGGAAGTTTTGGAAAGGGATGGAGGAGATCTTTGCCCAGTAGTGGGATGTTGATAGTAGAATAGAATTAAGTTCTTAGTCGGCGTATGTACATGGAAAACAAGCCTAGTATGGTAGTGTTTCAGAGAAATGTACTCGTGTCCTGCTGTGCTGATGTACACCGTTATACGGTGTTGGGAAATGGAAAAATGCTGTTACGCTGTGTGTTGACCTCCTAATGGGTTGACCTTGAATTGTAGGCATATATATGCTGAAATGAAAGAACTCACAGAAAATGACTTTATATTACTGAGACTTTGTATTTGCATACAAGATAACAGTTTACAATATTTCAAATACATTAAAAGTTAAAACTCTCCTTTTCTGAAGTTGGTTGAAAAGCAGACTCCCAATTTGAATGCATTTTTTTAAGTTTGTTACCTCATAATTCTGTTCTAGTCATAGTTATAAACCGATTTGGAAATGTCTTTTTTATCTAAAAATATTTATTTTCAGATTAGTCTCATAGAAATTTAATCCAAATCTGATTAGTAAATTGGATTTTAAATCAAAATAACTGATTTTGCTACAAATGAAGTCGGTGTATTTTTATGGAATAAAATTAACAAATTTTTATCCTGTTCTAAATGTGATATTGTTCATATTTAAAGGCAGAAGGTAAAAGGCCTTAAGAATTAAAAAAGGCAGATATTATCATTGTCCTTCAGGTTATTCTAGGTTGGCTAGTTTGCTACTTCTAATAGTAAAAGAAAATTCCTGATAACAGTTTTGAACTGCAACTGGTGAAAACTATTTGTTTTTTTTTATTGTTTTTCTATATAGTTCTAATTTCAAAATGACTATCGTCACGGCATAATACGTTCTTTCTCCTTTCGGGTTCTCGAGGTTGGAAGAAATACCTTTAAGGGATAAGTCCGCCTCTATACATTTTTGTTATTACCTAATCTATATAAAAAGTGTAGGGAAAAAAGCATATTAAGTGAATAAAATTATTACAAATAAACGGTAAACTTTGTTTTGTTATATATAGGTATAACATTATGTTAAAGTGTACTGCAGCTTCCAGCATTACTATATGTGCATAACATTATGAGAATCACAGTTTGAAACAATGCATGTAGAAGTCGATTAAGTATGTGGAAACTGGAACGTACTAATCCACGTTATGAACCGACAATTTCTATGCAATGAAGTAAGTAAGTACTTAGCAAGACTTCTAAGACAAAGTAATTCCAAAGTAGGTCAATTAACATGCACTATGTACTTAAAAGACAGATTCTCTCTATAACACACTGTCGGCCTAAACAGTTATACTACAACTTTGTGTATCTCTATGTCCTAGATTTTATTCTTAGATTGAGTAGAAAGAAAGCATAAATACATTACGATTTATAAATATTAAAACATTAAATCAATAATTGAGTATCTAGTTTGTGGCGGATTTGTTCTGTAATAAAATTTTTTTTTTATACAACTTAGAATGGCAAACAAGCTGACGGCCCACCTGATGGAAAGTGGTAACCGTCGTCTATAGACATGAGCAGTACCATGGATATAACAGAGTATACTGTTTCGCCCATTATACCCCCCATGTGTTGCCATTTCTGAGGACTTAGATGTTATTCCTCTGTACCCAGTAAATTCACGCCATATCCCACCATTCAAACCGAAACGCAGCCATGCAAACACAACTGCTTCACGGTTGAAACACGAATGGGACATAGGTACCCAAGCAATCGACTTTTGTACAAAGTTTCCCTCTGGTAAATGGATTTATGGACGAACACCATCATTCTATTGATATTGGACGTAACTATTTTGTTTTGTTCAAGTATTTATTGCTATTGATAATTAATTAAGTTTTATGTCTTCTGAATATAACTGTATCTATATATGTATATTATGTGCTTGTTTCATATAAATTAGAAAATGATTATTCCATTAATGATTCAAAGTATTCTGCTTCTTACATTACTAAATATTTTATGTATATTATAAAGTAGATAGGTACTTCCGCGAAATTACATTACATTAATGGAAAAGTAGAATACTTTTAAGATAAGATTCTTGTTTTTTTTTTTGTTATACCTTAATATTTAATTTGCGTATCTGGCATTGCAACGGTAGGTATACGTAGGAATATAAATATTTGAAGTAATTTGTTATGCAATCGATAACTATTCTTTTTAGCGTTATCATTAATTTCTATAAGTCTAATTTTTTTAGTGGAATCCTTCTAGCATCCCGCAGTCTGTCGGTTAAGTGGATACCGCCGCCTGTGGAGACCCAGAGCGCCTTTGAACCCGATCACCTCATTAGTTCAACCGAGTTGCTCCATCCATACGCACATATGTAACTACGCATTCGCTGCTCAGTTCGTTATCGGCCTTTCGACTGTTAACGTCGCTAATAACATTAGAAAAAAATAAGATCAAAATACATACACAATTAGGCTTCGAAAACATTGCGCAAGCGATGGCGACGGAAATGCGCGAGGCCGCGATAGCGACATCCTGCGGGCGACCGTGGCCCTATTGATTGCACGTCGCGAGCGCACCTATCAGCAATTTATATGCAAATTCATTCCACTTCAGGTGTTAACTTTCAGTAGTAGTGCGGTTTTAGTTGTGACATGTTGTTGTTATTATAACACCCGTTAAAAATGTTCAAAATGGTTAGAAATCGAAAGGTCCAAGCGACCAGTGAAGCGGACATTCGTCGTGACCAAACATTTCAAAACCGATCAAGTAATAATGTTTCTCGTCTCCGTGTTCGTCGTGGGTCCAGCTTGACCGATTTAGATAAGTTACGATGCAGTGGCGGCTCAAGCGGTGGTGGTTCTATTGGCGATTTGATGAACATGTTCAGTGGCAGTGCAAATTCTGTAGGTAGTGACACTCTTGTCGCTAGAACGGTTCCTCTTGAGACTGTCCGTCGAAACATGCCACCGCTTCCGTCTAGTCCGCCATCGCATCCGCCGCCCTCTCCGCTTATCCATGTGTCCCGACCCGTAGGACCTTTGACCATGGCACAACGAACATTGAGATTCAGCAGGCTGTTGAAATATCAACCTTGTTCTGCTGATATTCCAATTACACTGGTGAGTGTTGATTTTAAACCTATTTATAAATATTTGTAACCTTAAAACTACTAATTTAGAATTTTGAAAATAACATCAAAGTTAGCGAGAAATGATAATTTTATGTTAAATGTTATTTATTGGGAAACTAGAAAACAAATTAATTTGCTAATTTGTTTATTATAAGTACTTTATAAATTAAGTTACAATTAACATACATTGTTAGTGTAAAGCTTCTAGCTTCTGATAAGCGCATTATAAGGGATAGCTGATAACGATAAATTGATGTAATAGTCTTATCTATTATCTAATGACTGCATTATCATTTTAATGGGCATTAACAACGAATATTATAGTGAATTGTTGTTTGAATTTCGCCATAGGTAATAAAATGCTATCGTCTGGTTAATATATTTTTTAATTCTAAGTTTTTTAAATTTTCAAATTCCGATTGTTATACTCAGATATAGTTTTGTCTAATTAAAGCTACGTATAAATCGTAGATTAACGTTATAAATAGATTCAAAATAATATTTATACATAAATATTAAGTGAACATAAGATTTAATTAAATATCTATTTTATATTTATATCGAGCGGTCTTAGATTGAACCTTAATGAAGGAAATAGATTGTAACGTCAGCAACAAGTGGATGTGACAGTAAATGGAATAGGAGTTTTTTATATGCGGAAAATCCGTCACGGATATCTACACATATAGGGGTCCACCCGAAGCCGGATTCCTTGCGGGAAAAAACCATATGGAGGAATTTAGATATTTTTTTGACAGCTTTTTTATTTGTATACTATATAGCAGTTTATTAGTATATAAAAATACCAATATAAATAGCAGCATACGGTGAAAATGTATGAAATACAAAAGTACGTATTTTTGTTTATTTTTAGTTTTATTTAGTGTTTACACAGTAAAAACACTAGTACAACCAACACAAGTTAAAGATTGACTAAAAGTAAAAGAAATGGTATCAACGTGGAGAAAAAAATTTACATTTGTGCAAAAGTAAAAAGAATAAATTAATGCTCGTTATAGTGAATTAGATTTAAATGAAAAGCATACGTAATTATATAAATTTAAATGCATTAGTAAAGATCTACATTTCCAACGGACAATAGGAGCTTCCTGTAACTTTTGCATAGTTAAACTTAAATACGGAGTATTTATTTATGCAATGCTTTCGCCATATTCCATTGTATACAAAGTTATTCTGTATGAATAATTAATTGAAATTAATTCAGGAGTAGTTTTAATTATGGAATATATATTAAAACATTATGGAACTATAGGTAGATAGATTTTTAGATGAAAAAATATAAAAGACAGTTTTGTTTATTATTTATACTTCGTCGGATATAAAATTAATTAAATTATAACAAAGATATCTTTAGATGATATTACAAAGAACATTGAGAGTTTTTCCTTGATAGTAAGTAGTTGAACTTTAATATTATTTTTTTATAAAAAATAAATTTATAGATTTTATTTGTAAATAATTTAAACAAATCATAAGTTTCAAGTATGTATTAAGTTTAAAATGGCAAAAAGTGGCTCATTTTATTTTCCAATAAAAATATCAACAAGGACTTTTAGCTAAGAATGGAATCGATATAAATGGAAATTTTATATATCTAATTTATTTGTGGGCAATTCTTATATTCAATGGTATGAATGGGAAGCAATGCATAAGATAGCAGTCTCCGGGCGCCGGTGCGGCCCGACCCGGGATGTCATGAATTTTCAATGCAAATGCATTTTTATTTAAAAAGTTACATTTGAATTGCGAATCTGAGAAAATGTTTAAATACTTTATCTTTGTGATGATTTCTTTAGTTTCATGCTAGGTGTATTCTGCGGGTTCACCTGCGTGAATTAGTAGAAAGAGTATTTTTTCATAAGTTCGGATATCACATAATCATGTCCCAGTTTATGCATGAAAGAGTAACAAATATCCATCTACCTATCCATGCATCGTTGCAAATTTTTGCATTTACTTTATTGGGATATATAGAGAGATTTTCCTCGTATGATCGTAGCATAGAATAGGTCACCCCTTCCTTTTCTGTTGTAAGAATCGACTAAGGGAAGGCGAAGGATGGGCGCAGCGCCCTTTTTAAAACATCTCTAAAAGCCTAACTGCGATTGTCAACACGCTTGCTAAGCGTGGCAACAACTGGCAAAACTCCCCTTATAGGGAAGGCTTATGTTCAGCAGTGAACAGTTAACGGCTGAAATAATAATAATAGAGAGATTTACCTTTTTGAATAATAGAAATGATAATCACAACGATCTGTTCTTGTACTCATAACAATCAGGCACATATGGTATGATCAAATGTTTTTAATGAAAGGAAGCGTGATGCGTATATTCTATCAACAAACTAAAGGTTCTAAAACAGTTTAAGAAGATGCTATAAGTAGAATCCTAGATTGTCTCTACCATATCAGTTGTTGTTAAAAATTTATTAATATGACAAGACTGTCGCAACCTTTCAATGATGGAATAAATGTCCGATTAATCAAACAATTTTGAGATCGAATCGGATAATTCCTAGCTTTATCTAATACTATCTGATGAAAACATAGCATTTCGTATAAAATACAAAATTCAGTTTCTATGTTTATGCAATTTATTATTAATTGATTAAAACGTTAACCAAATGGCAGACATATTAAAAAAGGATCCAATAAAAGTATTTGTAAACGTTGAGCTCGTTTGATGTTATGTTGACGAATATGAAGAACGCAAAAGAGGTCCGTTTTGTTTGATGTTTTTGGTAATCTATATTGAATTTAGAACTATAGAGTAGCTATTATTTATACAGTGAGAAATCAAAGTCGTTAGTCGTATGTAAAAGTAAGTACATATATACCAATGCTTTAATTTATTTAATGGGTGAAAATTAAATGGTAACCTCATCTACACTATACGCTGGCAGGGCACCAGTGAGAGATGATAGGTGAGGATGAAAACAGGTCAGTTAGCCCATCCTGACGAATTTCACAAGAATTAATCACGATGATTTTTAGGGGGAACTGTGTGGAGGTCGACCTGATAAGGTATATTGCTAGCAGGGCGGTAGTTAATCTCCGTTACTAACAATCTTTTCCCCCTTTTACTTATGCTTTAGAATATATAAGGATTATAATTTCGATACAAAAATCTAAAAATGCAAAAATAAGAAAGATCTTGAGCCTCGTATACTAACTTAACATGTGGATGCGCCGTGTTAGTATGGGATACATATATTTTTTGTCGTTTATCAATTAATTCCTTTTGGAAAAAAACATTATTCCATTGGTAATATATTAGTATATATCATTCCCCTAAAAAGAAGTTAATGATTTCATCCAGTATATTAATGCTTCGGTTATACAATTGATCCGTCAATTGCTCTTGACACTTATGAGCATTCGAGATAGTCGGTAGTATAGGCTTTTGAAGCCTTGCTCAAATAAGTATTCGAGTACCTATTCGTTTTCAACGTAACCTCATTCGCTCTTTCATTTTTTGGATTAACGTTAAGGACGCGCTGCTGCGTACTTAAATGACAGAGACAGGCATATATTTTGTATATATATGTACGAGTATGTATGTATGTTGAGGAATAATATAGGTAGTATTACGAAATGTTAATACATTTCGTAATACTCGTCATCATCATCCTCTTCTTCCTGCTATTATCCTAATTCAAATGAAATGATTTAATATAGACCCTAAATTTATAATATACTACAGTATATAAGTATATATTTTGTAGAATAAAAGATTATAGTTACTTTTAATTTATTTGATTACGAAATTACATAACATTAAACTTTTATAATTTTTAATTGTAAATAAAAACAGTAATATTTTATATTATTTACCATCCGCATATCTCCATTTTCCTATTGCTTATTAAAATGTATAATGATATTTTAGATGTCAAGCAAATGACACCCTAATTTTTTCATTTAGCGTGAAAATGAATTTCGTGGGTCTAAAAAGACGTAAATTGAAATCAACTTGATTTCAATTTACGTCTTTTTAGGGTATCTGATAATTGACGTAACGATATTTTTTAATGATTTGTTATTTATTTAAATTTTATCGATTAATATACATAAAATTCATTATGCATATTTCTTCATAAATTTCAATAGATATTTCAATTTCGGCATTTCAATATTGTGAATACATTTGTTGAAGTCACCGATCACTTTAACTGAATGCGTCATCATTCTGGATATGATGTCCTTTAGACACACACTGAGGTCTGACACCTCTTTGAATCCATGGATAGCGATTTCAGCCATCACAACAGGAAATGGTGATGTTTCATATAGAAACTGTAAGAAATATAATAATAATTTAATCTGTGCATACACTTACACATATACACATATATATATGTATACATATTATTATGAACACAGTACAAGAATGTATTTAAAGTACTTAATGTCCTTATTATGAATGCTTTTTTACTTTATTCGAAAAAAGGCCTCGCTTTGTTAGACTTTTTAAAAAAAAAAACACGGACATATTTGAAGCAAGAAAAAATATTTACTTATTTATATTTTTACTGCACCAGTTAGTTACAGAAATAAGGATATATTACAAAAGGGTAGGAAATGTTTAACATCTGTTTAATATTTAGATTGTACATTTTAACAGATGCAGACGGAAATATTAAGTGTGTAACTGTAATAATTTGAATGGAAATTACAGAAGAAAAAAGATAAAAGATTGAAATATTAATACACATATAGAAAAATATATTTATGATATTTAACACTGACGTTTAATTTTAATTAATTTGTTGTTTTAATTATTGTGATGATTGCAATTAGGAGTGCAGGTGAGCAACCGCAGATGTTACTAAGCTAAGTTAATTATTTATCGATTTTCGTAAAGTTTATATATCTACCAAGTATAGATGTTTCAATTATATATCTTAACAGATATCGATTTTATTTTGAATAACAGAAAAGAAACTTACCACTGTCCTTTCCAAGTCTTGACTTTCATGAGAACAATTTCCGCCGACTTGTTGCTGTTTTTGACATTCAAACAGTTTTGACGCTGAATACTTCTTTAGGTTTTCAAGAGTTTCAAAATGGACTTGAA